AAGAATGTATTACTAAAATATCTAATAAAAATCCACCTTCATATAACATTATGAAGGTTAATAAAAAAAAAATTTTAATAAATTTGTCAATTTTCTCCCTTTCTGTAGTACCTAGCCCATATGAATCAACAATGATATTAAATAATATCAGGAATGTAGTAATGAAATTATAAAATATATGATTATCAAACAACTAGAATGGCAAGTATACAAATTTAGTGTTTTGATTAGATAGTGATTATGGATATAAAACGTGCATCAATATGTATGTATATGCATATAAATAAAATAAGAAAATTAGTATGTATATACCGGGGACTTCGAGTTTTGTAAAGTCAGATGGACATACGAAAATTATACTAAATTTTGATGCGTAATATACTAACGCTAATATAGAATTGTAAAATTCAATTTTATAAGTAATCATTTTTAATGGTTAGGGTTAGGGTGGATACTAGTATTGTCATTTTTTCATGTTGGGGTAATTAGTACGTAAAAGTAACATGGGCTTGACGAAGTTTTTCATTTACAAACTGTATATACTATCTTGATTTCTACACGTCTGTCCTAATTTAAGTTTTCGTACCATACTACTTTACTATATACCTGTCTTTGTAGCATCTAAAATAGCATAATATAAATATATTTTGTTTATAGCGAAATAGCTAGCAACCTATGTGTTTTGGTGCGAAATTTGTTAACTTGCACTAAACATGTGACTATTATTTTTGTTTGTGTAATTGTACGTATGTTTTAGATGATGACCGAAATGGGATACGTTAAGATTTATGCTTACCAAGCATAATAGGTTGATTTGCTAATTTTGCGAAATTTACTAGCTGATTTTGGCTAGCATTTTTCTAACGACCGGCCCTGGTGCGTATCCTATCGGTTAATTTACATAGTGCAGATCACATAGTAAATTCCAATAATAATTTTTTTTAAACAATAACTCTAACCAGAAAACCCACATAATAAAATTACATTGTCAAGTTCGTTTTAACGTGTTCTTTAAAGTAATAGCGCTTTTTTTTTTTTATTTCATTGTCTGGAGTGTAGCAAAGTTCTCGTTTTGATGCAATTTTAATAAAAATATGTATCAAAACCGTAACATTAGAAATTTGTCTGTTGCTGCTGCATGTCGTGTTATTAAAGAGTATGTTAAAACAAACCTAATAAGTATAATTTTATTTGTGTGGGCTCGCTGGTTCAAGAGTTATTGCGGTTTGAATTGATTATATATTTTCATATAAAAAAAGTTATAAATTGACCGATAGCGATAGGGCACACCCGTTCCTGGTTTAAGCGCGACTGTATATTGTAAAAATGGAAAATGCTCCGGAATATATATGGGTCGAAATAGGGTCATCACTATAAACACTATACTAAAACTACTCAGACTACTCTAACAGAACCCTAATAATGGTAAGGCTTCGATTGAGGCGTGGAAAGACTTGGTCCGAGTAATTAGGATCTGTTAGAGCTCTAGACTATATCACGGATCTCTTAATATGGAGTCAGGATTTAATTACTAATTCACATGGATTTTACTTATCGGAAAAGCGAAGCACTTTACGATGTTGAACTCTAATCAAATTATCCTTTATTCCAAGCGAAATTTATATATATATATAGTAATTAGATAATAAGAATAATACGTAAGAATAATAAGAATATCAATCAATATATATATATATATATATATATATATAGTAGGATATTAATTTTTGTTAATTTTATAGCACGGGTACTGGAAGATGATCTATTGGCTAGTTTTGTTATTAATAAAAATTGTATGCTACACAAAATGATGGCGCAAAATTTGGCGTTACCGTGATCTCAGAGTCAAATCGAAATGGAAAGCGTCCGGAAAGTTATTTCGTTGAACATCGATCTAAATAGTTTGGTTGAGTGATTTTAGTGTGATTTTCGTGCACTTTCCATTCCGGTTTGCCTCGGAGATCCGGTATCACCAAATTTTTGTTGTCACTCTTAAGGATTCATAATTTTCGGGATTCTTGGCACAATCCTCATTTAACACGCGAAGGTAATGATGCTTTATTACTTTAATATTATGACCAAAATAATTTATATAATAGCTAGTATATGTTCTCAGAAAATCCGGTTATTATATTAATTCAACTTTATTATTACAATATTAGGCAGCATGAAATCAAGATAAAATACTTTTATACTTCCAGTCCATTTTTATCTCCGCTTTTTCCCATTTCTTTCGCTTCTTCCATTTTTTCTATTTCATCAGTTTTTCCCATTGCATCAGTTTTTTCCATTTCATCAGTTTTTTCCATTTCATCAGTTTTTTCCATTTCATCAGTTTTTTCCATTTCATCAGTTTTCCCCATTGCATCAGTTTTTTCCATTCCATCCGTCTCATCAGTTTTTCCCGTCTCATCAGATTTTTCCTTTTCATTCATTTTTTCAGTTTCTCCCATCTCATCAGCTTTTTCCATTTCATCCATCTTTTCAGTTTCATTCATTTTTTCGGGTTCTTCTGTCTCATCAGTTTTTTTAGTTGCATTTGTTTTTTCCATTCCTTCCATTTCTCCTGTATTTTCTGTTTCACCTATTTCCATGGATTCTCTATCAGATTCAGGTTCTTCATTTTGGTTTAATGACTTTTTCTCTAAGACATGTTGCAAATATTCAAAAATTGATTGAATAGCAGCGGCAGCAGCATATTCATGCTTTGAATGTCCTTTATGTATTCGTAGCAAGTCAGTACTATGATCGCTTCGTCACAAAAAAAATAAAAATAAAAGAACGGATATTTTACCAGCTGAAAGACACGGACACCCATAATAAGACCTTGCATTTGGAACCCTCTTGTCCAAAGGTAGTTCAGATTTGATCCAATTAACTACATTCTTGTCGAACCACCTTTTAGAATGTGAAGGAATCATTGAAATACTGTGTACGCTGTCCGCAAGTGCGACGCCGGCAACACGTGATTTGAATTCATCAGCTAAATGGAGATTTTTAATGTTAGACATAGTTCGCAATTAGGTTGGGGACACGGAAAACCATCACATGGGGCATGAAAACATCACATATAACTAGTTGTTTCAATAGCATCACTCCATCGTGTCTGAAAATCTGAGATCACACTTCGTGCCCAACCCTATTCATAATGAAAAAATCATTGCTTTACCAAATTCATCCAATAAACAAGTGATATTAATTCCACCAAAACTATAGCCCATGACCAAAATCTTTTCCGCTTTAGCTTTACTAAGGAATACAAACGTAAAAAAATTGATGTAAAAATGATTCAAGGATCTGATCAAATATAATATATAATAATCATGATAATAAGATTACTGTACGTGACAAAATTATTCCATACGTAAATACAATGTTTTTGCGGTGATTCTGAGCCTCGTACGTATGCACGTTTAATGACCTTAAAAATAAATATCTCTGAGTAAAAATGCCGTTACTGGAGGAAGTTCTTTTAAGATATTTAACTCACTTCTCCATCTTTTATTACGGATATAAAATTTTCATTAGGATTGAACACTATGATACCCCAATTCAAATCTTGCGCCTTTTGAATATATGGATACATAGTTCCAAGCTTTATATAGCGTATAATAAATGTTAAAACAAAAAAATCATTATAATATTCTTTTTAGCAAATATGGAAACGTGTAAAATTGACAATAAAAAAAGTAAACACGTAAAGTAACAGAAATAATAACCTCGAGACAATCGTTAATAATCACTAGTTAAATAATAATTGTATATCGGAATAAGTTCAAATAAAAATTAAAGTTCATCAAGAAAGAAGACCGATCATAAAACCTCTTCGTGCCCATTGCCCAGGACGTACAACACCGCTTCCCTGAATAATCAATAATAAGTTTTGACATTCAAGAGCATCCTCACTATTTACAATGACAAAAATATCATTCAATAAAAAACAATTTTTTATACATTTATTATAAAATATATATACACCTGAGATAGATTCTACTCTTAAGCGTCTCTTCTTCATCTTCTTCGTTATCATCATCATCAGATCTCAATGGAATTATTTGCCTCTTGAGATTGTACTTTGACACCAGTTCATTTTCGATATATTCACCGATGGCCTCTTCAAATATATTAAAATGAATAATTGAATCATATAAATTATCAAATTTTGGCTTTATAATATCCTTGAAAAGTAAACAAATAACCGTACCACCCAATCTCTCATAACGAGTTTGGTTGTAGGTGTTATCGTCGGGTTTGATATAAAATTCGAACCTTTCGTCTAAAAAGAAAGATCCGCTCAAAGTATTTATAAAGTGTAATATGCTAAAAGATAAAAAACTTTTAAGAAAGTAACACGTCTATAACAAACTTGTTTTAATATCCCTTAATTGCCCCTCTTCGTTAAAGTGATAACCAAACCCTTCAATACTTTTAGGAAACTCGTCTTTTATTTCAGTCTGAATCATTTTCCGAAATTTCTTAAGAGTATTCTCGCTATCCACCACATTTATGTAGTAGAATTTTCAAGTCGTGATACCTCGTGACTCATAATGAAAAGGCATTTGTACAAAGCATCGTAGAGAGATTTCCGAGTTAATTCTAAGATTAAATTATATAGTTTGTTAAAATGAGATTAAATTTTTACTTTGTTTAAAAGATAAAAATACGTATATATATACATATATATTTATTTATTAGATACAGCAAAAAAGCCTTTTGGACTAAACTATTTTACGTATCTGTACAAACATACTGTATAATTTTTCCAGAATACAGTATATATTTATTAAAATGTATATATAATATGTATCATTTTAAAATAAGGCAGGCTTATAAGATTCTGCTGTATGCAGGGTTTCAAAATTAAAAATGAAATTCTGATTTCATTTCTCCGATTTATAATTATCCGGAGCGTAGCGGAGGATATTATGGGGGAGTAATAGACGCACCTATTTTTAGATTGATGATCAACTATATCAATCAATACATTGACTTTTATTTTTAACTATGCTCCGGATACCTAACAGTATCAGTTTTCCTAGTTTAATATATATAGTAAAATCAAAATATTTAAAAAATCCTACATACAGTACTTATTTAATAAATTAAGCCAGTTTTTTGGTTAGTAACTGGGTAGATTTTTTAAAAAGATGACCGGCCGGGTCTGTAAATGTTGTATAGAATAAATTTTTTTGAAGAGTTTTTTTTACCAACACTTGAAATATTATCATTATTAAAATTTGGATTATTATGTCGATCATTGCTATGTAGCAATCAAGATTAATGAACATGGTTTTGTCACATGTTTTCATTTTAAATAGAAAAGAAAAAATTTTATAGCAAATTTCTATAATTTAGTATTTTTACAATAATCCGGTACTCTTTATAACACTTCAATGATATGGATATATTGAAAAACTTTCGTCACTTTTAGAAAAATTGTTTATTAAGCATGGACGATATAAAATATGTTTAACACCTATTCATGTTATTTTATATTTGGAGCCGCTTTTATATTTCTTGTCAAGGTTTATTAGTTGACAAGAACGCACATACCAAATACATCAAACATAGGCAAGCATTCAAACGAAAAAAATTTAACAACATTGATATTATTGTTATAACGATCTGTCAAACAATCATTAAGATAACTTTTATTAAATAGCCGAAAAATCATTCGAAAACAGCTGTCAGCTTAAGCTAACTTACTTGAGCCGGCTTGAGCCATCAGCTCGAACCGGCTCGGCTTGGCTTTTTTGAGTCAAACCGGCTCAAGCCGATCTCATTCCTAAGTTAGCTAGTCTGTTTCAGCAGCTTCAGCATCACTATCCTCATCACCCGCAACTTCAGCATTATCTCTTTCAGCATTAGCCATAAGTACGGCAAGTTCTTTGTCATCAGCTTCACTCACAGCTTTCGGCTAAATTATAAAAATAAAAATTTGATAAACGCATAGAAAATAAAATATGAATAAATTTATACTAACCTTCATTTTAACTGCCAGATTTCCGCCAGATTTCTCGATAGCATCTTGTATTGTAGAAATGGCTTTTTCTAGCATCTCAATTCCTAAAGTTTTATCCAATGCATTGGTGATCATGACATATAATGGTGGGGCAACTAGTTTGACCTAATATACAAGGTTCACATAACTAAATTTTAGAATGACAAAATAATTTATGGAAATCTAACTTAACTTAAATGAAAGATTAAATTACCTTAATTGACATATCGTCGGCCTCACACGCTTCACCAGCTCTAAGGGCCGTTCTGATGGCATCGATACCGTCATAACCAAAGCAGGTTACCTCGATATCTATGGAGCAACAATATTTAAATCGAGAAGAAACGACTAAAGATTATAAAAATTTTAATATACCAGCACGAATTTTATTCGGTTGTGGAGTTAACCTTCGTTTAATATTATTTAGTAATTCATCACAGATTTCTTTAGATATCTCGATGCCTTCAAAAATCTTTTCTGGTTCGCTATATTAGAAAAAAAAAATTAAAATGATTTAAAAATATTTTGATAAATGGTAAAAACAAAGATCTTAAATTTACGTGATCGCCAATTTAAACGCTTCATATGCATGGCCATATTTTTTATACAAAGGCCATCCAATTTGTTTATACAGATCCTCGAGAACAAGATTTTGCTTTTCAGCAACATGACGCATTATGCTATGAACCTAAAAAAAAAAATTATAAATTAAACAAAAAATACCTTTATAAAAAGATTGATTGATCAAAAAACAAAACAAAAATAAACTAAACTGCTTTCGACTTATTAAATTTCTCTTCAGCTTTCGCGACATCCTCGGGCGAAACTCGACGCTTTGACAAGTCAATATAACCTAATAAAGCCATGATCGCATAAATGCAAAGGGCCATTAAATTTTACGTAAAAAAAAAAAAAAAAAAACTTAAAAAATATAACAATAACCTTACCCTTTTCTTTGTCGACTCTTAATACGACTACTACTTCATTTCTTCCAACCCTAA